ACAATATGGTTTTAGATCTGGGAAAAACACTATATCTGCTGTCTCAGATTTCATAAATCAGGTTTCTGATGGCTTGGATGGGTCTCAGAGCACAGCTGCGGTGTTCTGTGATCTATCCAAGGCATTTGATTGTGTAAATTACAATATATTAATGAGTAAACTTAAATATTATGAATTTTCTGATATGGCTTTGTCTTGGATGCATTCATATTTGACTAACAGACATCAAAGAACAATAATCGTAAAAAATGGTAAAAAATGTATTTCACAGTGGCTTAACACTAAATGTGGGGTTCCGCAAGGGTCAATACTAGGCCCCTTGCTATTTTTAATATTTATAAATGACTTACCTCGAAATGTATCGTCTAACCTTATCTTATATGCTGATGACACTACAGCAATAGTTAAATCAAATAATTTGCAAAATCTTAAACAAGAAATCAGTCTTTCTATTCTTAATTTATCTAATTGGTTTACAGCCAACGGGCTAAAACTTAATAATTCTAAAACACAGGTGATGTTATTTCAAACAATTCAGAATAGGCAAAACTCCACTGTTGAATTATCTTATGATAATAATATTATATCCTTTACTGAAAATGCAAAATTTTTGGGTTTAGATATCGATAAGAATTTAACATGGAAAACACACATAAAAATGGTAGTTGGTAAATTAAATACGGCTTGCTTTCAAATGTATGTTTTGAGAAATGTAATAGATTTAAAAACTAAACTCACAGTGTACTATGCAATGTTCTTTTCTGTCTTGCAATACGGGATTGAATTATGGGGAGCAACTTCTTATTCTAAAGCAGTTTTCAAAATTCAGAAGAAATTTATAAGGATTTTATCATTTATGCCTAAAAGAACCTCATGCAGAGCTTTATTTGCTAAATATGAGATATTAACTTTGCCTTCACTTTATATATTTAAAATGATGGTGAATTTTAAAATTAATTATCAAATGTACAATGATAAACAAATCAGTCATCCATATCTTACACGCTCAAAAAATTTTCAATATCCAAGACATCGCCTTTGTTTATATGAAAGATCTCCTTATTATATGGGATTAAGGCTTTACAACAGTCTACCCACTAATTTTAAAGAAATTAACAGTATTTCAAAATTTAAAAATGATTTCAAACGATACCTTTTACAGAAAAATTATTATAATATTTCCGATTATTTAAATGATAAGTAAATATATTTTAGTTTAAGCTATGTGGATTTTAGTTTTGTTATGTAACTTAGTGTTTAAGATCTCTGACAATATCACCTGTTTCACCAGCTAACGCTGGATCTGTGAAATGTTTAGTGATAATAAAGTAATATTTCATTTCATTTCATTTCATCACTTCGTTGTCTTTTATTATTTTTCGAGCAATTCGTCGTGCAGGGACCAGGGACCCCATACCCCGACACCCGCACAGTTTAGTGTTCGAAATCGATCATTTCGTCGTTTCCATTCGTTTTCGAGCAAGTCGTCGTGCTGGGACCATGGACACCATACCCTGACACCCGCATAGCTAGGATCGAAATCGATCACTTCGTCGTTCTTTATCCGTTTTCGAGCAGGTCGTCGTGCTGGGACCAGGGACACCATACCCTGACACTCGCACAGTTTAGCGTTCGAAATCGATCACTTCGTCGTTCTTTATCAGTTTTCGAGCAGGTCGTCGTGCTGGGACCAGGGACACCATACCCTGACACCCGCACAGTTTAGTGTTCAAAATCGATCACTTCGTCGTTTCCATTCGTTTTCAAGCAAGTCGTCGTGCTGGGACCAGGGACACCATACCCTGACACTCGCACAGTTTGGCGTTCAAAATCGATCACTTCGTCGTTTCTATTTGTTTTTCGAGCAAGTCGTCGTGCTGGGACCAGGGACACCATACCCTGACACCCGCACAGTTTAGTGTTCGAAATCGATCACTTCGTCGTTTCTATTCGTTTTCGAGCAAATCGTCGTACTGGGTCCAGGGACACCATACCTTGACACCCGCACAGTTTAGGGTCGAAATAGATCACTTCGTCGTTTTTATTCGTTTCCGAGTGAGTCGTTGTGCTGGGACCAGGAACCCCATACCCTGACACCCGCACTATTTAGGATTGTAATCGTTTACTTCTTCGGATTTTATTGTTTCAAGCAGTTCGTCGTGCTGGGACCAGGGACCCCATACCCTGACACCCGCACGCTGCCCCGTCGGAACAGATCACGCTTTTCGAGGAAGTTTCGCCTTTTTATTAGATTCGACAGACCCTCAGGAGTGGCGGTGGTGAGGCGTTGAAGACAGAACTGAGTGTTCTATGGTCTAAGAATAACGACCTGAGCAATCTCCTGACAAGGGTTAAATCCGCCAATGCTGACCCGGGTTTTAGGATTTTGGTGGTGAAACGGTTGACCCCTGGAAAATACCCGGCTGCTGAACTATTTTTGGGCATTCAAATTCAATTTTCGGCAACCACCCTAAAATACCGGTCACAACATCATGTGCCTCAGTCATTTTTAAGATACAAAAGAAGTTTTTAAGAATCTTATCATTTACACACAAAAAAAAGTCATGTAAACCGCTTTTTGAAACATATGGAATGTTAACAATGCCTTCACTTTACATTTATAAAATTCTGGTATACTTCAAGAGTAATGCACAATTATTTATAAACAATCAATTTATTCATCAATACCCACGTTCAACACGTTCAAAAAAAATTTGCAGTATCCAAGACATCGGCTATGCCTGTATGAAAGATCGCCGTACTATATGAGTCTGAGGCTTTACAACGGTCTACCTGCTCATTTTAAAAATATCAATAGCATTGTTAAGTTTAAGAAAGAATTAAAAACATTCCTTATAAAAAAGAAATATTATAAAATAGATGAGTATTTAAATGACTGTTTTTTAAAAAGTGACTAGTTTAATTTTAATCCTTAGTTTTAATTTTTATTTTTGTTAGCTAAGAAACGACAATGTCATCTGTTTCACCAGCTTTGCTGGAAATGTGAAATGTTTTATGGCAATAAAGTTATATTATTATTATTATTATTACTATTCCCTGTGTCAGTTTTTTTTAGTTTGCTTGGACTAATAGAGATTTAGTGAAATAACAAAAAAAATTGACGTTTTATTGTAAAATTGTTTAAATATTTCCGTAAACAAATACTTTCTACTTATACGTTCTTATACGTACTTATACGTTCTTTATACGTTCTACTTTTATGTTTCGTAACACATTTTTGTCTGGAATTGGAGCATTCAGCATTGTGTATTGCAAACAGAGGAGTAAGAGGGGAAGGTCTATGACCTTTAGTAGGATGCTAGAGACAGTAATTTTTGGCTTGTTTACATCCTACCTTCAGTGAAAAAGACCTTGCAGTTTCAAAATATTGACTTGTGATGTTAATTAAACAAACCGACAAACCGAGGTTCTGCATTTATTTTAGGTACTTATTTTTCCTGGAATGTGTCTCGGTAACCGCTACACGGTTAATTTAACTACCTTAATCGGGAGTTAAGTTTAGTACCTTTGGATGAATAGTCTTTCTTTTGACTTTGTTTTCTTTGCACTGTTTCGTCATTGCACAGTTGTTATCAGTCAGATGATATGACTGGCTCTGGCTAGTGGCAGTGCAGCATTGCTCTGTGCTCTGCTGTGTCTTCATTATCAAACCTCGTAAACATACTGAATATTTAATTTTCATTTTAACATTTTAATTTCTCTGCAGTAATAGATATAATATAAGAGTTTCTTTAAAAATAAATGATTTTTTTTTGCCGGAACAAATCTCTGAACTAATCCGATATCACGGGCCTTCCCCAGGCCCGACCCGATCCAAAAAAATTGGGGACCCACAGACCCCTTATTTTTAGACCGTGATTGGTTATGGAGAACATTTAAAAATCCCATGTTATTCTCATTGAGAATAAGTAAACTCTTACAGTTTGCTTGTATATTAATATATTTTGATCAAACTAGACAAATTTATTTATTTTATACTAAGCTATAACTTATATTGGAGATATTGGCAAATTAATAAAAATGTAAAGTAATACTAAATTTAACGGTTCAAAAAAGCCAATATATAATAATTTTTTTTCAACACAGCTTGAAGATGAAAACATAGTTTTGGAAAGCACGTATGGAATTAAACAAATTATTGTATATTGGCCTTATTGAACCTTTAACAAACTCACTCCCGTGTGGTGAGAGACCTTACATACAGAGGAGTGTGATGGCTGGGACTGAACCTGTTAACACCCTCACTCCCGTGTGGTGAGAGACCTTACATACAGAGGAGTGTGACGGCTGGGACTGAACCTGTTAACACACTCACTCCCGTGTGGTGAGAGACCTTACATACAGAGGAGTGTGACGGCTGGGACTGAACCTGTTAACACACTCACTCCCGTGTGGTGAGAGACCTTACATATAGAGCGAGTGTGACGGCTGGGACTGAACCTGTTAAATTTAGTATTATATTACATAATCTGTTATTAATATTTTATTAAAAAACACACTTTAATATTAGCAGCAAACCTAGGTACTCGTTTAACCCAATGTTTTTTTAAATAAATTTAAGGGAAAATCAAATCAGGCAAATGGAAATTCGCTTAGTGTGCAGGTTTGCTGCGGCGGGGGAGTTTTTACATTTCTATACAGGGAAACAAATTTAAAAAAAATTTTATAGGCCTATCTTGGATTTTATTTAATACATTTCCTGTTCATGAAAAAAAGTTTTTTAACTACAAAAGCAATTTTTTTCACCTTTATTTCAAAAATAACTTTCTAAATATTTGCTCTTTTAATAAAGTCATTATATTACGCACAATACATTTTGTTCAATATGTTCAATATGTTTGCTCTATTGGTTGGATTCATTTATATGAATTTTTAAAAATATGTCTGCAAAGCCGCATAAATTGCCTTGCCATCATAGAGTTAACTATGCCAGTTAGAGGGTTAAACAAAATTAATTAATTGTGTATGTGTGTTTTCAGGCTCTGGAGAACAGTGGTGCTGGTGCTAACAATGCTAATGGAGGAGAAGCCAACAACGGCCAGCCTGCCGCTGCTGCGGACAACAAGCCTGCCGAACAGGCCGGCCCCAACACGAAGGTAACAGATATTTAAGGTGTGCGGGCATCCGAAAAAATCGGATTGGATTCCGTTTGGTTAGGATATCCGAATCTGACTTATGCCCAGATTTGATATTCGACACTAACCTTTAAATATCCAACTTTTTTGGATAGACTATGTACTTTGAGGTTTTAGACTGAAAATAAAATCTTCATAACCATAATTAGTTTCCCAGGATGTAATTGCAACAAGGAACTAAGCACTGATGCACATTTTTAGCGAATTTCCCAATAGGGAAGTAGCTATTACTGTAGGTGGCACGGTAAGACCTAGGCCCGGGACCGATTTACTTTTCATTTTGATGTCCCCAGAGGCAAAAAACACCATTCGTTCAAATTGTTATATATGTATATATGTATTTATATACAGGGTTTAAAAAAATTCTTAACTAGGGATGGGCCGACTCCAATTCTCGATACCTCGATACCTTCGATACCAGTGGTATCGATGAATTGCAGATATTCAATACTTCGCTTCATTGCACTCGATACAGATTCTGAGAAGTGAGGTTAATTATGATGCTAAACTCAACTGACGTTGAAGGTTATAAAGAGTGGCACATCATAGTTTATTTGAAATACTCTTAAGTCAGCAATATAAAATTCCAAGTTCATTTCACAACGAATTACTTGTTCAACTGACAACTAGTAGAACAGAACTCTAGTTGAATTTGAATGATAGAGGCGTATCACTTGCCGCCATGTTGTCAGATCGAGGGCAATGTTGCCAGAAGCATTGAATATGTATAAATATAATACACATAAAGTGTATAGTCATTAATGGTACTAGTAAAACTCACGTTTTCTATCTCGTGATGGGCTTTATGTACATTTCATTAGCAGCTTAAGAGATTGATAACTTGCTGATCATAGCGTATAATATCATTGACTATAAACACAGTTCGTGAGTATATAATCAATGGTTGATCCTTTAACCCTATAAGTATCGTCCACCCCATATTGGGCGGGTTTTTTGATGCGTACGAGTGTCGCCCCCCAAAATCGGGCGAGTTTGTAGGTGCTAAGTTTTGTTTGTCATTTGTATATATGCTTGATCAATGTCCCAGCTTACTTATAGCAACTGTTCAGCTAATTCAGGGCTTCATGGTGACTATAGGAGACGGCCGTTTTGCGACTATGTATTTTTATCATTATATGTTGTTTTTCTCTGACTACAATGAAACAGCTGTTGTGAGTTTTCAATTGTAAATTAATTGTTTAACTTATGTTTTGGTGTGTTGTTTGTTTGCTGAAGGTGTGTAGTGATTTGTTCAAAATGGGTTGTGGTCTCTGATCCAGTGATGTGACGAACTCCATGTGATGTGATGTGACTTTTATGTGATTCTTTAAATAATTTAAGTGATATTGAAGATGACTTTGATATTGGCTTTGAGTCTATAACTCAAGCAATATGGAACATTCATTGTAGGCCTAGATGCACTAATTCTTATGCAAACAATAATGTACCCCTGCCGTAGCAAACATGCCGTCTAAGTGAATCTCCATTTGGCTGAATTGATTTTCAATTGATCTATTTTATTAACATTAGGTGTAACGAGTACCTAGGTTTGCTGCTACAAGGAAACAAATTAAGTGTGTTTTAAGTAAAATAATTATAGCTTAGTATAAAATCAATATATTTGCCAAGTTTGATCGAAATATATCCATAAACAAGCAAAGACAACATTTTACAATATTCTACATAAGAATAACATAGGAATGTTAAATTTACAATTTTTTAAGTTTTCTCCGTAATCAATAACCGTACAAAAACACTTTGATACACTGAATTGTTTGTTTTTTAAGCTATTTGAGAAGGTTTAGAGAAAAATTGGGAAAATTTATGTTTTATCGGTACCTTTGAAATGCAATTTAAATATCAACAGTTGTTTCATTAAAAAGTTGTGTAAAATTATCCATATGGTCATAATGTAAACAAATCTGGAGAGAAAACTCGACCAAGGGAATTGACATAAGTTTATCTTTTGATGGCTCATCTACAGACCCTTTTTTAGATACCTCTATCAAGCTTCTACGCCTAGCCGTTCTCTCAAATTAGTTGCCACAAAAACCCTGTTTTATTCCTCCATAAGAATAAACTTTTTTTAGACAACTCTACCAAGTTTCTACGCCCAGCTGTTCTCTCAAATTAGTTGCCACAAGGAAAGACATGTAGCATGTTAAATATATAGATTAAATCTAGCCATAGTTGTACTAAGGTGATTTTTATGTAGGAGTCACCAGCGGTTACTGCTCAGAATGTGTTACAAAACATTCAAGGCCTGGAGGACCCCTGGGAGATTCTTTTTGCCAGAGCGGAAGGACTGCATGCTCATGGCCATGTGCGAGAGGCGTGCACTTTAGGTGTGCGACTGGCAGAGGAAATGTTGGCTAACCCACCAGACCTCATGATAGATATACCTCCCATACAAGCCAAGGGGAAGCGGAAGAAGGTTAGTCCTAGGTTCAGTTTGATTTATAAACCTCATTCAATTAAGCATTGCTGATTCAAGAGAAAATAAATAATCAGTGTATTCTTTTAATATTACACAGTTTATTGACTAACAACTCTAGTAGTTATTGTGTTTACCAGTCAAGATGCCAGTGTCATTGTTGTCTACACCAACCACCTCCTCACCGGCTCTATCTAGCACATTACTGTAACACCCCATACTAGAGCATTCTCTGATCCCATTTCTTCTGTGCTACTGATTTACAATTCTCATGAATTTTACAATCTCAGAGTCTACATTAACTTAGTATAGTTCTAAAATGTCTAAAATATAAAGGTAAAATAAAACTGTACTACTAGTAAAATTGATTTACCTATGATTATGTTGACAGGTCAACCCAGCATCACACCAGCTAAGTGTGATAGCCTCCAACACCTTGGCTAAGTGTGGTTTCTTGTGTCAAGTTCTGGCAGAGAATGCAGACTACTTCCACTTGGCATTCAAAGTTGGTTTGTTTGGACTGGAGCTTGCCCGGCCCCCTGCCAGCACCAAACCCCTCGAGGTAAATAACTTTAACTATAATTCTAGAATTACCTAAGACTAGATATACAGGGTGTCCCGGAACTCTCTACCAAAATTTTAGAGCATTGTTCCTGAGTTAGAAACATATGTAAATACCATATTTAAATTGGCCGGAAGTCCTTATTTACTTACACAGCCGCCATTTTGTTTTTTTCACATATTAATTTTTTTCCAAAGAATGGTTTAACATAAGAAATTGAAACTTTGCACAAACATTTATGACAACCAAACAAAGCTAGGAAAAAATTATGAAGATCTTCCAAATTCATAAAACAAAATCACGGCCATTGATTTTTTTTTTATCAACGGTTTTTGAGTTATTATTTTAAATCGCCGCCATTTTGTTTTATGAATTTGGAAAATCTTCATAATTTTTTTCTAGCTTAGTTTGGTTGTCATAAATGTTTGTGCAAAGTTTCAATTTCGTATGTTAAACCGTTCTTTAGAAAAAAAAGTGATAAAAACAAAATGGCGGCTGTGTAAGTAAATAAGGACTTCCGGCACAGAAAACATATTACTATAACCCAGAATGCCAACCGTGTGGTAAAAAGCATTAAGTGTTTTGAGAGAGCTTTGCCTTTCAATCGTAGACAGCGCCACCAGCGTTGCCATGCACTCAGCATAGCAACGCTGGTGGCGCTGCCTACGATTGACAGGCAAAGCTCTCTCAAAACACTTAATGCTTTTTACCATGCGGTTGGCATTCTGGGTTATAGTAGTATGTTTTCTGTGCTTCCGGCCAATTTAAATATGGTATTTACATATGTTTCTAACTCAGGAACAATGCTCTAAAATTTTGGCAGAGAGTTCCGGGACAACCTGTATACTTAGATAGGCTTGGAGGTTTTACTTATTAAGTTTGCCAAGTGTGCTAAAGTAATAAGGTGTGCGTAATGCGTCTGTCTGTGATAGGTGAAACTAGCCAATCAAGAGTCAGAGCTGGTGACACTTCTAAAGCGTATTCCCCTGGGAGACCAAGAACTGGCGATGATCAGAGAGCGAGCTCATCAGCTGCGTGAAGGAACACTCAAGTCTCGTGGAGAAGCCTTGCTGCCTATCAACCTGGCTGGTTACATACTGGACGCTCTCATAAACACCTCAGGTACCAAACAATTAGATAAATTAAAAGTTTTTATCTAATACTAGCAGTTACCCGGCGCGCGTTGCTGCACCAACTATTATTTTAAATGGTAATTTGTTCTTTACGATGAATAATAAAAGTGTATAGCCTACCAAAAATAAAAATAGAATATTTTACTTAATTGCCAATGGATAAACAATGTTTTTTGTTTTTTCTTTAGGTGTATAAATATATAGGTAAGTTTTTATGAGTACCTACCATCACGTGAGCATACAACATACAGCTGTCCGTGTGAAAAGCATGCATTTTCTAAATTTTAACCAAAGATAGTCAGGGATTGCCCTAGTGCCTTATAATGGTGATTGCGAAAGCAAGACATAAAGGAAATTGGAGTTGCTTAAGTTCAGAGGGTAATTCGGATGAAATCATCAGTATTCTTGGGATTAAGACTATTTCTCTTTTAAACTTACCACTGATAATTTTTGCTTCAATCAATTTTGGTGTCATTTTTTTAATCGTCAGTCTGGTAACGTTGCACAGCTTCGGTGGATTTAAGTTTTGCATTAGTATTATTGGAGTTCCTTCTTTTAATGACAGTAATGTGGTGGGTTAATGACAAATTGAGAGGCATTTGAATACCTGAGATAGCACGCACGACTATTATTCACTTAATAATTTATATTAGATTTGTGGGTATAGAACTAAAGATAAAAATATTATGGCATTGGCATCCCTTTTATTGTTTATATACTTTGATAAAGGTTTTTATGTTTACATATTTGGCATTGGAGAATTTAAACGTTGTTGAGTGCACAGGTGTGCTGCAATGGAGTTTTAATAAAATTTGGACTAGTGATGGGCGGATCCAAGAAAATGTCGGTACCGGATCCGGATCCGGATCTTGAAAAAATCGGATCCAAATACAGATACGTTTTTTTCATTTTTCAAGGGTGGGTTTTTTAAATAAAATAATTCATATGGCTAGGCAATGTCAAAGACTAACTGTGTCCATATAAAAACACTTAATATGTGTCTTTATTGAAAACAAAGTTATCCCAATTCTACGTTGCGCAATGATTATCTGATTATCGATCCTAATTTTGAGGAGATACGAAAGAGACAAACTATCACCTATTGCGTTGTCTTTCTAACACAGCTATTCGTATCGTAATCTACAACGCAGTGCGAGTGCATGATTGGCTAGTCGCTATGACGACACACGGTTGCCGTGACAACCTACAGTGCGCACTGAGCACTGCGCCTTGTGTGGGAGGGGAGATTATACCAACAAACTATTTCAGGAATTCCATTTTGGGACGGATGAAAGATAAGGAAGAAACAAAAAATGGTCACGTGTGCAAATGTAGTGGGCGAGACAATAAGGCTATATACGAGTATTGCCGCGTCGTAGTTCCTTGTTTCAGATTCCCTATCAAACACCCCTATCTGCTATCTCTCTCTCTCTCTCCCCGTCCAGCATCTGGTGCTTTGCGGGGATACTTGTTTGTATGGTCACTTGTGGGAACTCTGCCATTTTTAGTGTTAGAAAGAATCTAGTGAGAGAAGATTGTTAGATAAAATTTTAGCAGTTGTTTTTTGTGGCCCTCTCTCAAAAATTCGTCCATTTACCAAGTGCCGATTTTTGTCCTTGTGGGGCTATAACGGTCACTATGAGAGAGGGATTTACGAGGATATGTGAGAGGAATTAGTGGGGATATAAGAGAGAACATTCAGAGGATATAACGGTCATTGTAAGAGAGGGCATAGTGAGGATATGTGAGAGGGATATGTGGGGATATAAGAGAGGAATTTATAAGGATATAAGAGAGGAGCATGTGGGGATATAAGAGAGGAATTTATAAGGATATGAGAGAGGGGCATGTGGGGATAAATGAGAGGGTTTTGTGAGGATATATGAGGGGGACTTGTGGGAATATAAGAGAGGACTTTATGGCGATATGAGAAAAGAGTTGATAGTTCTACAGTTACTTGGGTTTGTGCGATGGTGATTATCCAGGAGACACAAGAGAGGGCGTTATGAGGATATGAGATCGGATCTTGTGGAGATATACAAGATAGATATTTGTGGGGTTATGTAGGCCTATAAATAGTTTTTGAGAATGTTAGACGGTGAAATAGGATACCAAGTAACTTTCAATGGATATAAGAGAGGGATTTGTGGGACTGTAAGAGAGGACTTTACGGCGATATCTCAGAGGGTTTTGTGGAGGTATGAGAATGAAATTAGGAGGACACGTAAAAACAGTTAATGCTAAATGTTTAAGGGTAATATAATTAATTGAATGGTCTTAAGAAATGATTTAAACACTAGACTAATGATTTATCACGCTTTATTTTCATCAATTTTACAGTATGGAACAGTATGGAAAAATTCAAGCTTTGGGGCGTCACCTCTGGTTCGTATCAACTTTTTAAACTTCAAAAAAGTAATACATAGAATAATGTTTTCAAACCCGTAAAACATTCTTGCAAACAACTTTTTAAAGAACTAAAAATTCTAACCGTCCCTAATTTGTATATTCTTAAATGTTTATTGTATGTGAAATCAAATTTCGAAAAACTCCTCAGTGAAAATAATCGGCACAATTATAACACTAGATTTAATAAAGATTTTCAATATCCTATACACAGATTAAATCTTGTGGAGAGGACACCTTCTTATATGGGTAAAAGATGTTTTTACTATTTGCCTGGGTTCAACGAATCAATCATAGGATTAGTATCTTTTAAGGAAACATTGTTTAGTTTTTGTTGGAAAATAATTATTTTAGTATAGATCTGTTTCTCGAAGACAAATCTATGTGAATTGTTTTTTTTTTACTATGTATTTATTTTTACCAATTAGCTAGTTTATCTTAGTATAGTTTGACAATGTCGGCTGTGCCAGAGCATTTGAAAAAAACGTTATGTGTCAATAAAGATGACTTTGACTTTGTATAAGTATAAGCAATGGTTTAAATAAATATATAAAAAAATTACCATGTATACATACATGAATATTCATGTCTGTACCCCCGTCATTAATATTATGTATGTGAGGCAAATGTTGACACCACTTTACCTGGAATATATTCTTATATTCCTTAGACAACGTTATAACTGAAGATTTAATTATAAGTTTTATAAAATTTCGGATAAATGTATTTTAATGTGCATACAATTTTTTCAATAGTAACATATTTTCATTATTTTTATGTTGATATTATATAATTTCATATGCAGGTTAAATACGCACCATCTGAGATCCCTGTCTCAGATAGTGTTATAATGCTATTCATAAAAGTCGTCACTTCAAGTTGATACCGCAACATGGTGTTATCATTCATTGTGGTGTTGAGCTTAACTTGTTGATATCGTACTTCCAAAACTAACTTAATAATAAACTTGATATAATATCTTTGAAAATCATACTTTGGACGATCTTTACTTGTTGTAATTAAACGATTACAATAGGCTTGCATTCAAGCATGGCCGCCTCCAAAGAAGGCAATGTGGTCTTTGAGCTTGCAATACTGCAATCCCAGTCACCCCATCATGACACCATCATGACACCATCAGGTGCTTTTTTCTGCAACCCATATTTCTGTAGATATTTTTGCAGGAAACTCACATCGAACCAGCCAAAAAAACTTTTGTGGTGTTGCTAATTCTAGATGGCGTGAAAGCCTAAAAGTCCATTTTTTATGGCTTCAAAAGTAACATTACTTGATTTATCTATTCTTGTTTCTAATCAATGTAAGTGTCTATTTTTTCCAGTATAGCAAAGAATGACCTTTTTTATTACTGGAGTGTATAGTAGTAGTTGTAACTAGAGTTATAACAGTTTTTATAATTAATATTGCAACATTCAATAAACATAAAAAAACTGAATTTAATAATAAATATTTATACTACGTCATACATTTTTCATATTTTATGTCATATTTTGGAATATAATTACGTTTTTAATATTAAAATAATAATCATCAACTACTTTTTATACTTATGTAATTTACTGGTTTATGTCGTTAAATTCTTGTGTTATTGAAGTAATTTGTTAAACTGCATGGACAAATACGACATCATGAAAAATACAAGGTAACTAGACTGTTTATTCAAACCGTCTGAAAACATGTTAATAATGTTTGAGATATTACCAGATTACTCTCTAAGGATTAAAATAAAACATTTTCTTTCAAAAATCATTATTGTTTTTTTAAAAATTACATTATTAATTAAGTATAATATATACAAATAGTGTAGTATATTATTAAATAAATTGCTAAAACACTGTGGCATAAAAATATACTGACAAACAATACAGTAATGTAAATTGAACTTAACCTAAAAATTGGGAATAAAGTATAATCATCTTACTATAGTAAAAATAAGTAAAAATTTTCGGTGTAGCCCTTCAGAAAGTAACTATAGAATGTACCGGTAGAAATTTAACAGAAGTATTAAGTTTCAACTATTAAACTGTATAAATAATAACTTTCAAAAGATCTAAGGGCACAAAACAATAATTTTAATAACGTAGTGTTTCTTGTCTGTATTGTGCAACGCTCACATTAATTATTCAGATGTCTTTTGGGGTTAGTAAAACGTTACGCATGTTTGTTGTGAACTGTTTGTATATTTCATCGTTTGACAAGCCCCAAAAACATCTTAAGGACCGAGGCAATTATTGCTTAATGTAAGAAGAAAATAATTCTCTCCTCTAAAAGACACGTTTAGAATAAAACCTAAAATGGTAGTGGTAGAAAATGGTCGTACAAACATAAAACATATAAATCATAAAACCCTAAGGCTTATAAGCCATTGAAAACCTTTGTAAATAACAGTAAACATTACATTGGGTGTTTAAATTCATAAACAAATTCAACTCATACAATGCAGCACCACGAAAAACGACAGATAATACCAACATTTTAAAACTGGCATTACAAATAAAACAACACAGAAAAAACAACTAATGTGATAGTTTAAACATTACTGTTGGTGTTTAAATTCATAAACGA